ATAGTGCTTGAATGTGCTGTGTGTTTTCACGTTCGGAGGGAATTAAGTTATTGATCAGTGGGCGCCACCATCTCAACAAAGACTGTCTTCAAAAATTTGGGATTGTCTCTTTCTAGGCTAAGGATTGTAAGATGTGGTTTAAAGGCTTGAATGAAATCGTAAAGCTCCTCAGAGGTTGCTTTTTCATATATATCGGAGGTTTTGATCTGGTTGGTAGAGGTGTCCACAACAAGATAATCAAGAAGGTGGATTGGAATGAAAACAGAGGTTTGTTCAGGCGGAGCAGATATCATTCGACTTGAGTTGGTGTGTTATGACAGTGATCTTTCCAGGAGGGAGGAGCAAACTTGATTCACAAAGACAAGTCACATATTCTAGTGAGTGATTTCTTGGCCCTTTGTTCCCCTTTGACATATATTCTCAGTCAAAATTGGACAGATAAATACAAAGGAATTTTGCCCTACATACTAAGGGGGTTTCAAGTTGGAACTAATCACGGTTTCTACGCTAAAATGAATTCCCCTTGTAGCGTAAACTTACGCAAAATTAACAAAAATGAGGAAGCTTTTACGCCTCCTGTCTTCGTAAAACATAAACAGCTAGTTTTACAAGTCACCAGGGTTTTCAAGTTGAAGCTTTTTACGCATTTTTAGGCTATGTACAACAACTTGATCATTGTTGTAGAGCATGTGTGTATTATAAAGCAGGACACTTTTGTAGGTGTCCTGCATTGAACATTTGTAGGTTTTACGAGGATCTTTTGTACAGAAAAGCTGCCCATATTTTGAAAAAATACGCACAGAATAAATCTCAAACCCCCTATTATATACAAATTCTGGAAAGGGGGCATGGCAGAACGGATGAAGGACAGCTGACAGGAAAAATTAATCTCTTCTCACTTCAATGATGAAGTTGTATTTTTTGCTCAACGCAACAAAGAAAGGTTCTCTATATATTTTGTTGTCCATCAATCACAATAGATTTTGGATTGTTATGCATGTAAATAACAATAGCCCTTCAGCCACCTCAACTCCACAGTGATTCAAAGAAAGAATGGAACCAAGATTATCACATTACACATTTCTTTTGAACCTGCCAACTGATAAATAAAAATTCAAACAAAATGTCCAATCTACTAGAGGCATTTTTTGCTCAAAAATTGAACCCCTCAAACATTATAAACCACCCAAGCAATTTGAAATTAAGTGATGACTTTGTATTTCCATTCAGGATTCTTCACTTGTCCTCAAGATAGATCTCCAAGCCAAACTCAATCTGAGGGAGGGAATTAAGCGCTATGAGTGACCAGCCATAGATTCTTTTCAAGCTCCTACAAATAGGACATTTATATTGGGTTTGGTTTGCAAGAAATGAAAAGGAACAAGAATGAAAGGGACAAACTTAACAAATTGGGATCAGTTTGAACACGCTTGATTTACAAAAATAGCTAGTGATATCATAGAAGATCACATCCTTTAGCAATCTTATGGAGTTCCCATTTTATTGTGAACTTTTTGATGAATTCATGTTTTATTGTGAACTTTCTGTGGAGTTCACATTCAGTATTTGTTTGCTGAAAATTTATGTCCTTAGACTTCTACCTCTTCAATTTTGTGAGAACTTCATCTGAAGTTCACATTTTATTGTGAACTTTTTGAGAAGTCCATATTTAATTGTGAACTGTTTGAGAAGTTCACATTTAATTGTGAACTTTTTGAGAAGTTCACATTCAATTGTGAACTTTTTGGGAAGTTCACATTTTACTGTGAACTTTTTGTGGAGTTCACATTTCAATGTGAACTTTTTGAGAAGTTCACATTATGTGAACTTTTTCAGAATTTCACATTTCACCGTGAAGCATTTGTGGAGTTCCCATTTGGTATTTGTTTGCTGATAAAATTATCTTGAAAGCTTACATTCTTGCCATATTCCATAAGAGACTTTTGAATGGATCTACACCCTCAACATACCATTCATTTCCATTTCAATCACTTTCAACTCAAATTCACTCTACATGGGATTGAATAGTTTGAATTTGTTATTTTCTTTTCCATATTTCATAAAGATTGGGACACTTTTTTCGTAAAAAAATCATGAAACCTTTGTAACAGAATCATGAAAGCAATGTAATCAATAGAAGGTTTCAAGTTGAAGGTCTTTAGGCATTTGTACACTACAACAACTTGCCCATTGTTGTGAAACATGCGTCAATTTTTTGAATCACCCAGCTTGAAACTACGCGGGGCTTTTGAATTTGTTGACCACTTCCCTGCCAAGATTAGAACACCATCAACACAGATTCATCCAGGCTATACTTGAACTTTGTCTGCAAGACTCGACCAGAATCCTCAAGCAGCCCAAAGCCTTCAGATGCATCAAAAAGTTCTGTAGTTTTGTACGCACAGAGATAGTTACACGTTGAATCAGCCAGCCGGTTTACTTTTCCCCACAGGGGAGGTTGTTGGGAAGATAACCACAAAGCCTCATCAAGTGGGGGACAACAACATCCTTTGTAATCATCTTTGATTAGGGCCATCAGTAGTTTTATACGCACGCGCGTAGTTACACCTTGAGACAGCCGCCCCGTTTCCTTTTCTCCACAGGGGATGTCTTCCCGGAAGATAACATCAAAGCCACCTTGATGGGTGACAACAACATCCCTTTAGCACCCTCAGTAGTTTTATACGCACGTGCGTAGTTCCACGTTGAATCAGCCCCTCGTGTTCTTTTCCCCACAGGCGACCTCACAATAATTAAAGAAAACGCAAATGTAGCACGCATCATGTTTTTTTCGACTTGAAAGCCTTCTGCGGACAACCAGAAGATCTTCTTGAAACAAAGTGGATATTGAATCAAGTGGGTATAACGGAGGTCCTTTACTGCTTAATCCAACTTCCTAGAGGTTTTTAATCATCTGTAACTCCAGCAATTTTTTTTCTATACGCCTCTTCCATTAACAAATTAATCATTCATCCATTTGATTATTCCTTAAATTAAAAGATACATTGATCGATTCAATCAGGCATCACTTCTACCATTTATCATCTGCAAATTAACACTTTTCTGATCATTTAACACTCTCTCATCACTTGATTAGTATACAGCATTCTTCAAAGTTTTTTATCACCTCATATCTTGATTGCTTCTCATTGCTCAGAAGGTAAATGACGTTTACCGCTCACTTTCCTCTCTTTCTATGTCTTCTTCACTTGCATCACTACCTCGAGAAGTTTCCGCTAGTACTTATTTTTTTCCTTTGTCTATCACAATTCTCATTTGAAACTTGAATGCCATCTAGCTAACATCAGGTATTTTGATTTTTCCAGATGGGTAAAAATCCTTCTCAACTCGCATCACTTGCCCGAAATCAGGCTGAGAAGCGTCAGGAAAAGAAAGACCTACGCGCGGATTTTCGACGTTCTATTGTTCATGATCAACACGGTGCACCAACTACAGCCAAAGTTATTCATGTCCTACCTAATCGCCCTGATCTTAAAGAACGTATCATCTCATACGGTCATGTCATCCTCGTTGACGGGCACACTGGGGAATTTATCGCCAGCATCTTTACACTTCACAATAATCACAATAACAACCAAAATCTCCGAGATCAATTTGATTGGGCAACAAAACTTCTCTACCATCATGGACTTGCTCGCAACAAGTGTACAATCAACAAAGCTGCCGAAGCTTTAGGGCAAGCCAAGTCTGGGGAGATGTATCCCATTGGTTCTCGTGGTGGCACCAATAAAGGGAAGTCTGCAGGTAAGCTTGTTGATTATTATTGATTCCTAAAACCCTTGACTAATATTTATCAATCTCAGGTGCCTATGTACTCAATACCAATACTCGAAGCGACCCGCACCTTATCATGCAAGATATTCAACGGATGAAACTTCTCCCTACTATTGATAAATTTATCTCAAAACTCTTTGCAAACCTAGTATTCTCCCAATTCAAAGCGAATCTTGTACTTGGACAACAATATGGTGTCTCTTGGGCTTCGCCAAAGGTTCTCAACACATCTTCCAAATCTAGCGTTGGTTCCAATCTGGTCATCACGCGAGACGAATTCGCTAATGAATTGCATGAAGATCCAGACGCATCCGGATGTGCCATTGGCCTTTTCTGTCTGATGGCACGTGACTCTGGCAACGTAATCTACCCCAACGACAGCAATACACCTCCACCTTTCCACATTGAAGGCGCTTATTTTCACCTTGACAAGTACAATACAAAGATACGTTGAAGTCATTTGCCAAAGGTGGTAATCTGGAACACAAAGACATTACACCATAGCTCACATTCTCAGACCCTCAACGTATTTGGTGAACGGGTCACTCCAGAAGATGCCAACTTAACAAATTTTGGATCTTCTGTTCAGATTTCAAAAACTATTGTCGATCGAATCAAAGGTATGAATAAGAAGGAAGCTGGTATGTCTGATAAGATGAAGGAGACTTTTAAGAAGGAGCATATAAAAGATTATTCAGAATAGATTACCTCAAGATTGACCGAACTCAAGACCGCAAAGAAACTTGACCCTTTGATTGAGGCACAAATCAAGGCCGGTCTCAAGAGTCTTGAGTAATACTAATTAGTGTGAAGCATTTGTTCTCTCTTTTCTCAATCATACTTTCCTTTAGCTCTATGTGATTCCAGAACTTCTTGTTCTCTTCCTCTCACATTCTCTACTTTTACTTCAGGCTGTTGATTTTTGTGGTATGCTTCTCTAATTCACAACGCGGTTTATCCAGGCGTCTTCCTTTTTGACAAAATCTAACACCACATTATCAAAATTCATGCTCCTTCAATCATGCTTTTGTTTTTTGCACGTGATTCCACGACTTCTCTTGATATAACCATCTTACTCACTCTCTGGCTCATAGTGTTTTTCAAAAACACTTGTAAGTCAACTCACTTTTGATCTGAAAGTGCACCCGAAGTGATTCTACTTGTAGTTTCCAAAGTACAGAATAACGTGAGATTTACAAATTATGTACGCTCAATTTGATTGAAATCAATATGCCTTTTCAAAAGTGTAAACAAATATTTGAGGAAAGTGTTGTAAACCATCCAAGAAATAGCAAAACGAAATGAAATTCTAAGGACTTAATTTTTCCAACAACAAATATCAAATGTGAACTTTTTTCAAAGTCACTGTAAACATCATTCAACTTCCCCAATTTGGAAGAGGAAAATGATTAATAGTACAGTTTTTCATAAAAGAATCTAATACTGCACACCTGAGCCATTTCACCCACACTACATATGCGCAGCAAGCTGAGTCAATAGTTGTCTATCATGTACATACAGGTCTGCTCAGTTTTTTGCCCATCAGAATAAATAAATCACATGTTATACCACATGTAACTTTTTCGACTTTGGAATTTTTTTCCCAAAAATTTACTACATATCATTCTGTAGCTGCTCAAGCAATATTGTTGAAGCTATGTCTTAGTAACAGAAAGTGTGTTACATGCAGTTGAGTTGATGAGATCACACCAAAACATTGAGTCAGTGTATGTAGTCAATCTTTTGGAAGCTTTTTTCAATCTGAAAGAAGTTACAGCATGTATTACATATGAAGAACTTATCCTGATGAGCAGATAACTGAGCAGAACTGTATGTACATGATAACCACATATTCACTGAGCCTGCTACACATATGTAGTGTGGGTGTTATGGTTCAGGTGTGGAGTGATAGACCATTTTATGACAAATCATACTCCCAATCATTTTTTCCTGCCCACTTGGGGAACCCAAATGATGTTTGCAGTGAGTTGACATGTTGTTGTGAAAAGTTTTATGGAGTCCATATTACTTTATGAATGACTCTAGCTCGTTGGAACATATTGCAAGGAATATTATACACAGCCTTCTCTCTTGCTATGGAACCTTTTATAATCTTCATCATAAGCCCAATATACCATTTTCCTCTTTACAAAGGCAATCTAAACACGTAGGTCCTTAGCTCATCACATGGTTTTGATTTTGGCTCTCTGACCTTATTGAGAAAGATTTCTCATGATGAAAATCAAATATACATACATATAGCAGAGGTTCAATGTTACTACAGTTTAGTATCTATTAATTCAACGCAAACAAACAAGGTTGAAATGATTCACTTATCCAATCAGATTGAGCGAAGTTGAGATAAGTTATCTTTTTTTGGTTCAATTTATCATACACAAATGCCACATTTAACCCAACCAGATTGACTGAAGTTCTACCTGGTAAGTTGAATGTATCTTATTTCATATGACGTGCATCATGTGGGAATTGAACAGCGACCTCTCACGAATGCTATATGGACTGCAAAACTGTACTTTTCCATAGATGAACTTTTCCTTTAGTACTTCAGTCCACCTAGGAAATTTTCCCCCTCTGAGTCCGTTGGGGCTCAAAACAACATTGAACACAGTGGCCAGCCAATGCTGGTGACCAGGCAAAGATGTACTCCAGTGACTTTGGTGCATAGTCACTTGTTTTGAGCTTTTTTGTGATACGCTTTTTGACTCACAGATGAAGTATATTTATATCACTAGAGAACATGTGGGCATCCCACCACAGGCCTACTGTCCCACTATTTAAATGGAACCACTCAAATGTCTCAAAAGTTTGTAGTTATCTCACAATTCTCACAAACAACTTCTCACATCTACAAAATCAGACCATATCAATCAATGGTCTCCTCACCAAAAAGTTGACTCACCACCAAAGATCAATTACCAGAAGAGGAACATATATGTATTTATTATATATTCAAAAGACCACCCTAATTGATATTTTATTTTGAAAAATTTGGAAAGAAATACAACAAGCCAGGAAAAGAACTTCAGATGTGTAAAAAGGGGAAACAAAAAAGAAATTACGAGTTTTTTTTATCTGAAAAGGGAATGCTTCTGGTTGTTCTTGCATTGTTTGGAAAAGACAGCAATGCAAAGAGCTTTTGTTTTACACATAATAAGCTGAATTGACATCATCAGATAAAGTTGTCATCATGGTCATCACCATCAAGACCTGTTATATCAAATCCAGAATCATGATGTAAATCCTAACAATCATGAGGAACATGATCCAACATGTGTAAATTGATAGCTGGTCCTTCATCAGTACTATTAGTAGGGAGTCCCTTATGTGTATTTCATGCATAACACAAATTGTGAACTTCACAAAAGGTTCACGATGAAATGTGAACCATTGGAAGTTCACAAAAAATTGTGAACTTTGCTAAAGGTTCACAAAAAATTGTGAACTTTGCTAAAGGTTCACAATTCTTTGTGAACTTCAGATAAAGTTCACAAAGAAATGTGAACTTCAGATAAAGTTCACAAAGAAATGTGAACTTCCAATGGTTCATATTTTATGTATAATACAAAGTGTACAGTTTCTTGTTAGCAGGTGTACACATTTCCAAAAGTTATCATTTTCAATTGAGATCAATTCACAAATCATATCATTATTTTGGCTCTTAATTATCACTTAGCCCTGCTCCTTTAATGTACGCTACGCCTGAATGAGAGAAAGTGACCTACCAGCAGTTGCATTGCTAAATAGGTGAGTACTGCTAGCGTGTCTCAAATTGCGCAAAACGTGATTTACAATAAGTTAAGATCCTGTTCTTTGAAACTGCATCTCTTTTACATGCTTTCGTCAGCATCCGTAACACCTATGTGATATTGAATGCATTCTTGCCCTGTGGATTTGTTATGTGCATATCAGACTTTTCTATCTATATCAAGGTGATCTGCACCAAATCAAAGTTATAGACAATCAAACATAATTTCCACTCTGAATGTGTTTCGAAGAACTTTCATCAGCTGAGCAGGTAAAGCCTGGTGCTTTTTAACACTGGTTTCAATGTGTCTGTATGAGCTTTATAGAGAATCAATGACAGTTGATTGTGATTAGTTGAATGAAAATTTGGGTTCAGCAGCAAAACAGAAAAACCAGAATCACACACTCATCCTCTTCAACACAGTACAGAAAAGGACCAGGAGGGGCAAAAAATAAACAACAAAAATATGTATCAACGTAATCTCAGATCTTTGAACCCCTTAATTCATGATTTCAAATCTTCACCACTTTGTTCACCCTGCATTCAACCACAAATTTCTGAATCCCACTATTATAACCAAGCACTAGATAACTACAACAGAGAAAATGATTGTAAGTAACTTCAGATGGATCATTGGCGTTGGTGAGTTTGTTTTGAGTTCTGACGTTTTTATTGGTGTCCCACCAATCCAAGATGTAAGTGGTGAGATTCCAACCTGTCTCTTTGCAATTTCTTCTTCAGTCAATTTCTTGTTCTCGTAATCTTTCACTTTGCAATAGTCATGAAGCTCAAGAGAGCAAAAAACTTACATCATTGATTGACAACATTCAATAAAGCTATCGTCAGTAAGCTCATCAGAGACCTTATATTTCCAGTTTGTTCAGAGCATTTCTACGCTTTTTATAAAACAGGAGGAAAATCTCAAGTAGAAAGGATCAACATGCTCCCTTCAGTCTCCAATCACTTTGCGTTGACTAGATGGCTATCTTTTCTGAGGTTTACTAGTAAAAACATGACAAAATTTAGTATGTAAAAAAACACAGCACAATCCCCCCCCCAATTCCACCGGTTCACATCAAAAAAAACTTCACAACTCATTAATCTTATCCAACTCAAAATTCACAAGTAGACTACGCAATCACCGCCTCACAATTCTACGATTTCAACTTCCTGCTTCACAACTTTGCAGGAGGGGACTCAATCTTGTTTTGTCAAGTTCACAAATCTTGATCGATCTCTCACACCTGGACCTGCTACAATGAAAACATACCCGATTCTAACAAAGCTAGTTCAAAGTTATATAA